ATGATCACACAACATATGTTATTTGGCCAAACAATAACCTTCCTGTGGGCCGATTAAAATTTGCATAAATAAAATATATTTATATGACCAAGCTATTTGAAATCAAATTAACCTTTTATAAATTTGGCCACTGTGGCGGCTAACAAATCTATCATATTTAATTTCAAATAGAAACCTTTAGGGATAATAAACCCATTTAAAACCAAAATAACAACAATAAAGAAAATTATTCTTTATCAATCCTCAATGTATATACATACATACTTTATCCTTATACCATTAACAATAAATACCTATTCATTATAAGGCTTAAAAAATGATGCACAAACAACGCACATGTAAGCCTTTTCAAATGAAAGTTTGAAAATGATGCATAATATCCAAAAAAAATTATATTTAGCTTTTAACAAAGAATATCAAATATAAGGAAAACCCCAAAACCAAAGACCTTAAACATTTGATTTCTTTCAAACCGTAAGTCCAAAATTTTCTAAGAGAATTCATTGTTTATTCAAAAAATTCAAACAACAAAACCTCATCGATTATAAAGCCAAAATTCTTCCAAACATTCCATCTATTCACAGATTCAAAATTTAAATAATAAACCCTTATTAAACTGTGAATCCTAGTTTTTTCTAAAAAATGTAGCTTTTGTTCCAAAACCAAAAAATCATCGTCAGGGAACAAAAATAACACTACATAGCTAATACAAAATACATAAGATGGAACCCACGTTCAAAAAATAACAAACTTTATGCCAAAAGACAATAAAGCAAAACTTTTCATGATTAATCATATATAAAAATCACAAAACTTAATTCCCTCGTAATTCAATATGATGATGGCTCTGATACCAATTGTTGGAATATTTAATTCCTCTAAACCTTATGGTGATAACTATCACCTACAAGCCAAGATCCATCATACCAAATCATAAAGAAAAATAAGAACAACATAAAGGTGGAGGCATACCTGTCTCCGTTGCAGCGGAATAACTTTTATCTTTTCTCTTGGGGTTTGTAGTCTTCCTCAGTCAAATTACCCTAAAACCTTATTTCTTAGTGTGCCGTCTCTCTCTTGATGGGGAAGAGAAACTAGGGTTGTTGATATGACGTATTGGGGACCATAACCCTTTTTTATAGTGTTTTTATCTTTATTGTTGGGCCAATAAGCTCCTATTATACCTAGTTGGCCCAACACCGGTATCCACTCATTCAGTCCATACTCACTTAGGAATCTATTTGGGAATATTTAACTGATCACTTTAATTTACCCAATATATATAAATAGCACAATATAATTATTAATATAATATGTGACCCACAATAATTATTAAAAAATATAATTTCTTAAGAAAATACACCAAACATCAAGCACACTAGCTAGACACCAACGACTTCAATCAATTCCTTCTTTTCCATGATTGCCATAAATAGTAGAGCTCTAAATTGTGATAGAAGTGTTAGGAAATTATATTATATTTCAACAAGAAGTTGTTACATCAAGCAAAGCCACAAGTGCATGTCTTGACACATTAGCTAATACTTTCTTTTGTAAACGTCATTGATATATGTTGGTGAACTTCCAAGATATGTTCAACCATCGATTGGTTGTTACTAATAGTGTAAATATGTTAGGCTACGTTAGATTTTGCCATAAATAGATTATGCATGTGTAAAACTTATTTGGTTTGTTCTGGCCTGTTAGCCTGTGTAGACCCCAAATTACAAGTCTGGTATGATCTATATTAAAAAAAAAGGTCTTGACCTAAGCCTGATAATCTATTTAAGCCTATTAAATATTCAACAATTAAAAAAATAACTAAAATAATATTACTTTTTATTCAAAATTATTAAAATAGTAATTTTATTTATTTATTTTAAAATAAATAATATGATATAATCCTGACATATACAAAAAAGCCTATAACTTATTTTTTTAAATAGGCTTTTTTAAAAGCCTAGACTTGTTCTATTTTACTATTTATAATAGGTCAAATTTAGCCTAATATAGGCTAAGTCGTAAGTCCCTGAAGATCAGTCTAGCCTATTTACACCCTTAGTTGTTAGCACGTGACTTTAATCAGACCATTCCTCTTGTCACAGCTGCATGCATTAAAAATTAATATTAAACATAGAGAAGAAACTATATACCAGCAACGCGTTGGTGAAAAATGCCTTTAATTAAAGAACACTTCCATGATCAGAGAATTAACATTCGGTTGCATTCACTTATACCAATTTTTTAGTCCCTTCTTGTACGAAACAAAATTATCTATATTTTTTATTATCCGATTACCATCTTGAATGTTCGTTCCACCTGCAATTCGCAAGCAATGGAGACACCACATGAACATGGTTTTGTTGGGACCTATAATAGAAACTAAATTGGTTGTGTGATAAATTTAAGTCCGTTTTCTGAAAGGGGTGTAATATGTCGATTTAACAGTGATTTACTGAGACAGGTGGATGAATCTAACCTTAACTGTCATCGAGAATGGATCTCGGGCAAAGATTGAGAATTAGCGAGAGTGTTAAACATAGAGGCTTCGTGGGTGTATTAATATTAAGAGCCTCTTTGCATCCTCTTACTTTTAAGCTAAAAGCTACTTATAAGCTAAACTTAAAAAAAAAAGCTTAAAAAAAAAAGCTAAAAGCTGTTTGGAAATTATATAAAAAATTTAGCTTAAAAATTACTTAAAAGCACGTATTTCAAGAAAATTATCTTTCTTTATCTTTATCACTCTTTATTTATAAAAAAAAGCACATAATTCAAGAAAAAAAGATAAGAGCTTAAAAAAAACTCCTCATAGGAGCTTTTAGTTTGTAGCTTTTTTCTTCATTATAAAAAAAGAGCTTTTTGTTATAAGAGCTCTTCCTAACTTATGCTTATAAGTAGCTTCTGGCTTTAAAAAGAGAGGATTTAAACAGGCACTAAAAATGCCTCTAATGATAAGAGAGAGGTATTTATAGCTAGAGAAGATTCCCCAATAATAAGAGAGGATAAGTTATTCTACCTACCATTTTTTCTGTTTATCTTTGTCTACCACCCACCAACACCGTTAGATCAGAATCTTAAGAAGAGAGAAAGATAAATGTTAGTTAAGATTCTGATCTAGTGATGTTTTAGAGTAGTAGGCAAAGGTAGACAAAAAAATGGTAGGTAGAATAACTTATCCTTAATAAGAGATAGTCACAATTGTTTATGCCCTTATAGACCCCTCACATAAGCATCCTCTTTGGTGCATACATTATATGAGGAGAACACTTTCTATACAACCGTAGCACATACAACTGCGGTTTAAAAAATTACATCTAGATTTTTTTATTTTTTTATTTCTGCTCTGTACATATAGCACAGGAAACAAGACATTTTAATTGGATTGCCGCACCCAATCAATGGTGCGGCAGTAGTATCCAAAATATTTCGATATATGAGAGTGAGATTCGAGAGATAATATTTGTTTCACTTTAGGAGTTTAGCAGTGTAATCTTTCTAATGGGCCTTAGATGTTAGCCCAATAAACTAAGCCTATATGACGGATCAAGATCAGAAATAAAAAAAAAAAAAAAAATCTATTATTTCCTGTAATCAAATTAATTAATGTTACTACTTCTGAGTGTACCCATCAATATTTGTCAGCTATTGAAGATTGGGATGTCTCCTCCACATCTAACGCGTTATACACAAAATTTGTATTGACAATTTTACACAACTACATACATTTAACGATAGCATTAACATAATTTAATACAAAAAGTTAGAAGGGATCCCCTTGTAGACTTCTGAATCTTTTGCGTAGACAACAAAACTTTTCTTTTCTTTTTTTTAATTCATATTTGAACAGGCGTATAAAAGTAATTTAATTTTCATGAACTTAGATGGATCCAATGATTGTAGGATTAATGAGACACAATTATTGGTTACATGGCTAGATGCGTTGATCCATGCATCATACGTAGGGACGCAAATGTACGTTGTGTATCTAGAGAGAGAATTATATCACCGACAAAGGGAGCTAAGTTGGTTTTTTCTATGGTAAAATTTGTTTGGAGCATCGCAACAAATGCATCAAACAAGTGTCTACCATTGATTGACACCAAAGAATCTCCAATAATATATTATCTTCGCCCTGTATTTCCTTAATAATTATTGCCTCAAATCTGAAACCAGTTTGATGATATTCGACTTAATTAAGAAGCTCTATCTACTACCAGAAAACAACTCATCAATAATAATAATAATAATAATAATAATAATAAATAGGCAGATTAAGAGCCTGTTTGGATTCTCTTATTTTTAAGCTAGAAGCTACTTATAAGCTAAAGCTAAAAAAAAAAAGCTTAAAAAAATAAGCTAAAAGCTGTTTGAAAATTATATAAAAGTTTTAGCTTAAAAATTAATTAAAAACATATATTTCAAGAAAATTATCTCTCTCTTTCTCTTTATCACTCTTCATTTTAAAAAAAGCACACAATTCAAGAAAAATAGATAAGAGCTTAAAAAAAAGCTCCTCCTAGGAGCTTTTAATTTTCAACTTTTTTCTTCATTATAAAAAAAAGAACTTTTCGTTATAAGAGCTGTTCTCAAAACCTGTTTGACCTAACTTATGCTTATAAGTAGCTTCTAACTTAAAATTAAGATGATCCAAACAGGCACTAAATCGGTTTGGATATGAAAAAGAAAAAAGAAAAACAATTTTAATCACATTAAATTAATTAAAGACATAGTGCGCTTCCACTACGCTATCAAATTTTAATTGCATTAAATTCCTCTCTTTTTTTGCCCCTATCAATGCTCCAACGATTTTGCAAAGAAAGAAAAGTTTCCTTCGAATATGTTAGATTGGTTGGCTCATATGATGTATCCCGAATAATTATATTTATTTTTAACTTTTGGGCACAAAGGCATATTCAAAATCACGGTGGTCATAACCAACCAACCCCAATTTTCTATATAAATTTTTCTATAAGAATCCCCTAAACCTCCCAATTAATTCAATCATGAACAAAGTATTGTCCGTCAAATAAGATTGTATAGTATCTCGTTCCAAGTATCTGGAACACCAGAAAGACACCAATGGCTGCAGTCCATTCCCGTTGGTCCATTAAGTCCATAAATTGAAGGATGTCCATCTTTTCGTAATAGTGAGAGGGTTGTGATGTCAAGTAATGTGACCGGTTTCTTAATTGTGCTCAGCACACTCTTCAACACCGCCACAGCCGGTGGCAATCCCCCGGGATACGTTGATCCAGCCACCGGTGTCTTCTGCCGGAGACAGCTCTTTGCGCTTGGTTCATTCCATAGGCTACCACTGAAATCAATGTTCACATAAAAAAACTTTTGTAAAGAATCATATATATTTAAAAGTGTTTGTCCTTTTAAAACATGATTTAATTATGTCATTTCACTCGTGGGATCCACATCTTTACTTTTTTTTGTCCACTTCCTCCATTAGGATTTATCTCTTTTTTCTCACTTAAAATGACATACACAACTTTATATCTTTTAATCTTTTAAAATAACACATACTTTTTCCTATATATTTACTAATAGGGCTAAAAAATTTCATTATATTTAATTATATATTGATAGAATTGCAAATGATGATTGAACTTATGAATACTTATAGCTGTTTGGATGGGCTTACAAAAAAAGTGCTTTTTATATTTTACTTATTTTAAAAGTATTTTTTACAAAAGTTAAAGCTACTTAGATTTTTATAAAAATATTATATTTTTGAAAAAAAAATATTTGACTTTTGACTTTTAGAAGTTAAAATTTTTAGCTTCCAAAAAAAAGAAATATTTAGTTTTTTATGACTTAAAAAGTAGACATCAAAGCAAACATTTTTTGAAAAGTGTTTTTTTTTTCTTTCTAAAAAAACGAAGCTTTTGAAAGTAAAAAAAACTCCATTCAAACGGACTCTTAATCATATATACTTTTATTCAACCAAAAAACTTAAGCAATTAGATAAATACCATATTAATAATTTTATATTATATTTTTTTAACAATATTAATCATGCTACATATTTTATAGTGCAATCATTTATAAATTTTTAGATTGAATCCAATAGTTCAAGAAGTTAATATCAATAATCATACTAGTGCAATAAAATGGTTATATTTTGTTATTAATCGTGTTTCAAAACCAAAAATAGATGGGTTTATTTTTGCTTACTTATAGTGAGATGGTGAAATCCCTTGAAAGAAGACCTTCACTCTTGTAGGGTCGATATTAGCGTCTACCCACGCAGCCCATGTCGTTAGTGCTATTTCAAAAGCCTTCATCCGATCCATGTCTTTCATAACTTCACTTCCCACTTGGATATAATCCCATCTGAGAAAACCATTCATCATAAACTCTTTTAATAACAAAAACATTATTTCAACTTACAATAATTTATAAAACTTTAAAAGGTAATTTTATTTAAACTTGATTAGATGCCCCCAAATAATTTTTTTAATAGTTAAGAAACTTACGGTTGAGTGGGTCCTCTACGGTACCACCAGTGCCATGTGTTAAAGATAAGCATGTCAACCCCTTTCCACAATTTGCTTCCTTCTATTGAATCAAGCTTCAATACCCTACCCATATCCTCTCGGACAACATCTACTAGATACACGTTCCTATCTAGCATCACTTTGACTTTATATTCCTGCAAATTATTAAAAAATTTAAAATACTATATATATGAATGAAGATTCCTTATGCTAATGATGATATCGAATAATACAACAAAAGGCCATGCTAATGGCACGTAAATATAACCCAATAATTAATAACAAGTGAAGATTCAAAGCTTTCTGATTTTGAAATCTTCTATCCTAGCAAGATAAGAGAAAGACAAAGGGGTGGGGCTTGCAATTATGCCATCTCTTTCAAGTGGCTTTATGACTTAACCATTGTAAGTTGCATCATAAAGTCCATTTCCTTATGGTGGCACAACAAACAATGTCTTATACCAACATTTCTTTTCAGGACTGAAAAAGATTCTTCTTTCCCCCACTTTAATGCATAAGTCAGACAAAATAATGATGATACAGTGACCCACGAAAATTATAAAGAAAAGAAGAATAAATTAACATGAGACCATAGTTATAATATAATCAAAATTACAATTCTTACCATAAATGTAAATATAGAAACATCTCCAACTCTTGCCAAAGTATAATTGGAATTGGGCACTGCTGAGTGAAGCAAGCAAGTCAGAGACTGCCACTGATTTCTGCTGAGTGAATCACCCACGAACATGATGCTCTTCCCCCTCATCCTCTCAAGAAAATCTCGCCCATTAAACCTACAATTAAACATAGGAAAAATTAAATAAATTTGAAATTTTTAGAAAAATAAATATTGCGGGACTTAAATACTTATACTTCCCATATGTTTCGTTTACATTACATTAATAAATAATTTGAGAAAAGAATTAAACAGTTAAAATGTTTCTAATTTTACATTACATAGATAAAAAGCCTAATACAAAAGCATGTGGAACTCATTGAGTATAAGATGACATGTGAAAGGGGAAAACTAAAGCAAGAGTTTCCGACAACCGACGAACCCGTGAGTGAACCGACAGACTATTAAGGGGCGTATGGTAATTTTACTATGAAAAAAAAAAGTAAAATTATATTTACAATGTTTATAAATTACAGTAATATATACTATTTGTAATACATAATATACTTTATAAAAAAATTTGTAAATATATCTTATAAAAAAGATAAATACTTTTATCTTTTTAAATGACACAACTTATGTCATTTCACTCTCACAAATAAGCGGGACCCCCACTTTTTTTTATTTTTTATTCACTCTGTCTTCCATGATCTATCTCTTTTTTTCATTTAAAATAACACAATTATACATCCTTTAAAATGACATACATTTTTTCTTATAAAAAATATTAAATTTGAGAATCTAAATCAAAAGTTGTTTGTTTTTTTAAAAATAAATAAATATATATATATATATATATATATATATATATATATATATATATATATATATATATAGGTAGGATCCTTTGACACCGGTGTCAAATTTGAAATTTGACACCTCATTTGAGAACCGTTAGATAAAAAAAGATCAATGGTGTCACATGCTTACAAATCCGAGTCGTTGATTTTTTTTTATCTAGCTCTTACATGAGGTGTTAAACTTCAAATTTGACACCGGTGTCAAAGGATCCTGCCTATATATATATATATATATATATATATATATATCAAATGTAGTTTGTTTGTCACTGACATGTTGCAAAGCACTTTTTCCTAAACAGCTGCTAAAGTGCTTCTATGGGTGCACGTGACGCTGCGTTTCCCAACCCAACGCAAACATTCGGAACCTTTAATTCGTCGCCAATGTCTTTTTTATGTTTTCTAGAAAAAAAAATTCCATCATTTTACAGGCTGGGATGATGGGATAATACTAAAAGGTCACATGGTCTGCCACATATCGCCAACAATGAAGATGAAAAGTGTCTAGTAAATGATTTTGTAGAAAAGAAAAATGCTTCAAGTTAATAAATTTAAATAATACAAATACTAAAATAATTTTTAGAAAAGAATTTAAAATTTAACTTCTTTATTTCTTTTTAAAATATCCCCTTTTAATGAATTATTAAAATTTTTGTTATTCGTTGAATTAGCAATAAAATATTAAATATGAGTACACTAAAAAGAATTATTTTAGAATTTAAGAATCATGCCTTTAAATATTGAGAGTAATTATAGTGCTTTTATGAAGAGTTATTATCTATTAATTGTTGACCTATAATACATAGTTCAAAACTCATTAAAAATATAAATTACATTTAATGAACATTTAATAACATACATTGAATAGCAATAATTAATGAATATTTAATAGCATGCATTGAATTTTTTTAAAAAAATATTCACATTGTAATGAATTATCAAGAAATTTATTATTCTTTGAATTCACAATAAAATAACAAAAACAGATAATGCAAAACAAAAAGCATTTTTTATTCTAAACGATATATATTGTATCATTTAGGTGTATAATTGCTGATTTTTATAGTCTCTCTTCTTCGTGAAATTAATAATAAAGGAAGCGGAGAAGAAAAAAGCTAAAAAGTTATCAATTATACATTAAAATAATGTTATTTTATTTAAAATAATATAAAATTATATCTTTTAAAATAATAAATACTTAAAAAATTATTTTAAAATTTATTAATCACTCACTTCTTTAATTTATTTTTATTTTTATTTTTTTGAAGTGTATAACATGATAGAAAAGAAACCAATGAGGACTTGAAGATTAGGATAAAGAGGGTACCAACCTGAGTAAATTGCAAGCAAGTGGGCGCCATCTGTAGTGGGTGTAAATCAGATCAGGGCGTCCATTTGCTTCGCACCTGAACTCGCGCTCTATAAAAGGACACGTCGCGGGTTGATAAAGCGGGTACGAATCATCCATGACCCATTGACCCGTGAAGAAATCGCACTGCCCCGAACCCTTTCCATTCACATTCAACACCAACACAAGAAGAAGGAAGAAGAAGAAGAGAGGAACATACCCAGAGAAGAAACGGTGCACACAACAAGAGAAACCGCATTCAACACACTTTCCCATTTCTTAATCCCAACGAAAGACAGAAAAAGAGAGAGAGAATATTGATAATGTTGAAAGGACTAAGAAGGAGGTTCTCTCTCTCTCTCGGTTATGTTTCTTTGTGTTCTACAACGTTTGATCACAAAAATGTGGGCATTTATATAAGCTTGGCTGCATGTGTTTATGTATGCAAGGACACTTCCTAAATAGCTATATAGATATATGAAAGTGGATGATTTCATTAATTATTAGTTACTTGAGATAATCATTATTTGTGGGCAAATTTACGCGGAATAAATACTCTTATGTGTTTATTTAACATGACGTGAGAGAATCCTAACAAAGTTTATGGTGATCAGATATGAAAAAGAAAAAATATTAAAATTACACAAATATCATTATTGATTTGCCTATACATATATTAATATGCTTATGAAAAGATTTACTTTGGAGATATAGAAAGCCAGTGCATTTTTTTTTTCCTATTTATTATTTTATTTGTTGTTATGGTTTTGGTAACCACTAAATGATGAACCATTAATCACTAATTAACCATGAAAGCAATTAATGAAACTAGCAGGATTCTACTTGGGGAGGTGAAACTTGGTTTTCATGATGCGTTTATTTGATCGTCAGGAGGATTGATAAAGGAATATAAACAAAAATTGGGTGGTTGCTGTCACATGGTAGGGACTAAAAGGAACTAGTATTTACGTATAACACTTGAATAAGTACGTTAATAAATTAAGGGAATAACATCTATCATTTTAAAAGATATAAACTTATATCTTTTTAGATTTTAACTATTGATTTTCGTCCATCAAGGTTTATAATTTATTGGATTGAAATTATTAATTAATTAATAATAAATTTGGCCCATTAAATTTGACCCAATAGATTATAACCGTGGATGGACGGAAATCAACAGTTAGGATCTAAAATGATATAAATTTATACCCTTTAAAAGAATAGATGTTTTTCTCATAAATTAGTAAGTAATTGTTCTAACTTAATTAGCGATTTCGAATTCGAGTTTTAAATTGATAGGAAAAATTTAATTTGTGGCCTCTTTTGATTTTGCTTGCCGTCCGACTTGATCAAATTAGCCGCTTAATATTTCCTAAAAAGTAATTACCTTTAATATGGGAAAGGAAAATTAATTATTAAACTTGATTTGATTCCTAAATTATGCATGTCAATCACTAATTAACAATTAAGCTGGATTTCTAATTTATTAAAAGCCCAAATCAGTCACTATATAGGGATTGAATTTTGGGGTTTGATTTTCTCATGTTAAATGAGAATTTAATTCTCATGTTGTAGAGATAAAAAGCATGTGGGACCCATATGTTAGAAAAAATTATATGTAGGACCCATGTCAGCACGGAAATCGAAGGGTGTGTAGGAAAATTTGAATTCTCATGTTAAATGAGAATTATAAAACTCTTGAATTTTATACGTATAACCTATGAACTAAGTGTTTACAAAAAAAAAAAAAAATTCTATCTTCGGAATTTTTTTTTGAAAGTTTATTTTTAATATATTGTTTATGTAAACAAAATTTAAATTATATATTATGCCATTTTTTAATAAGTTTGATATCTAAAGACACCCCAAAAGGCATTAAAAATAATTAAACAAACCAATGTTATCAAAATCGGCCCGGTCAATGATCCGGTCGAGATACTGGGTCACTGGTTCAATCAGTTGGTCACTAGTTTAACCGCATGACCCAGTAATTATATGTAATTTTATATTTTATATTAAAAAATTACAAATATACTCAAATATCTAAAAAAAATGATAAAAATTTCAAATATTTTAATATAAAAAATAATAAATCACATATTATTATCCAATAAAAGATCAAACAAAAATATAATGATCGTGATACGGGGTTTTAGGTTCAAAAAATAACATCTCTTACTATAAATTAATTTAAAATTTTCTGCATAGTACATAATTGAGATAATATTAGTGTTGTGGGTACATAACTTATGTAAGTCAATAAGTAAAAAAAATTCAAAATGTCCATTATGATTTTGGTTTTTTTTTTAAAAAAAAATTGGAATTTTTGTTTTTTAGGACCGGGTCAGGTCATCAATTTTTATGAAAACCAGCTGAGTTGCACCGAATCACACCAGTTCTGATGCATGGCCAATCTGTTGCTTCAACCGAACCGGTTATACAATCAATTTACCTATTCTCATATTGACCCTACGGAATCCGATTTTAATAACACTGAAACAAACAGTTGCAAAGGGTTAGCGGAAATGGTACGCAGATTGCTTTATTAATTAGAGGATAAATTTCAAACTCTAAAAATGCTAAGTAAAAGAGAGCTTAACCATCACTCCGTACTCAAAATTGATTTCGAGCCCAAAAGGTGTAAGAGCACCTTAGAAACCAAAAAAATAAAATAAAGAAGGGAAAAATATCTATCTTTTTAAAAGATATAAAATTATATTATTTTAGATCTTAACCATTAATTTTCGTTCATCAACGGTTATAATCTATTGGGTCAAACTTAATGGGCTAAATTTATTATTAATTAATTAATAATTTTGATCCAATAAATTATAATCGTTGATGGATGGAAATCAACAGTTAGGATCTAAAATAATATAATTTTATATCCTTTAAAATGACATATGTTGTTATAAAAAAAAATAAAAAAAAATAACATATGTTATTCTCAATAAAGAAATGAAACAATTTTCCATTTTGTGCAATGAAAATTATAATTATAATATTCATTTCAAGTTGCACGAAATTGTCATTCTTATCTCCTCAAGGAGTGATTGGTCATCCTTATCTTTAAGAGATTACGATTCGAAATAGATTCATTGATCATTGAATATTTTTCCTTATATCATATATCAATTGAAAAAATCATCATTAATGAAGAATAAAACAATAATAAAACCGATCATGCATGCAGAATATGTTCTTAACATTATTTAAAAATGAAATATCATTTTGCAATAATTATATAAAAAGAAGGGTATACAATATATTTACAACTTATTTTCGTTTACAACAGCGGGTACAATCATATCTTAACTATTGATTTTCGTCAATCAATGATTATCATTTATTGCGAATTAATAATTAATTAATAAATTTTATTTAAGAAAATAATAATTGTTAATTGACGAAAATTAACAGTTAAGATATAATTATAAAAATTATAAAAAAATAGATTATAAATATAACATTCCTCTAATATAAAAAAAAAGGTTGTTTGCCTTTTCAGTTTCCCATCCATAATACGTGGGATTCTATACTTTTTTAAAAGAAAAAAGAAAAGGAAAAAGTTTGTACAATTTGGCTCATTCTTTAATTTTTTTTCAAAAAGAAAAAGGTAAAAAGTTTGTCCAATTTGGCTAAATTTTCTATATTCTTCGGAATTTAAATTTAAATATGTGAGTTAATTGTAATTTTAAAAAAAAATTCTAATTATAAATTTTGGGTTCTGAAAAAAAATCGTGGAAAAAAGTGATGCGAGAAATTAGAAATTTAAAAAAACAGAAAAATATTTCTGCAGTTAATACAAATAAGTTATTTGTATTTATTTTCAAAACGACATTGTTTTGTAATTAAAAAATTAAAAAAATATAATTATAAAGACTATAATAACTCTGAAATAAACTAAAATTACAAAAATACCATAATTTCAGTCCCAAAACAACGTCATATTGAACTTACTACAGATAACTTATCTGTCATTAATCGTAAAAAAAACAAACCCTTAAAAAAAATGTGTTGTTTGACAAAACTTTGGGAACATGGCAATTCAATTGAATAGACCTTATTCGGTGAACTAAATTACCAAACATTTGCTGTAATTGAATAACCGCTATTTTGAGTTGCGTGACATAGACGACGACCTCTACCTCTGTCGTTTTCCATTACCACCTTTGCCAACACCACTTGATTATTTGATAGCTTTGTTTTATCTCCCTTTGAAATATTATTAATAAAGGATCGGGACAATTATTTATTTATTCAATACTTTTTTGTTATAATTTTTTTTTAAATAATAATATTAAATGATAAAGGTGTTAATTTAGAGATTCATTTAAAGTTTTATGAGTTATTGGTTTATTACGGTATAATAAATATAAGTTAATACATAAATGGCCTAATTGTTTGTTGTGAGTATTATATTTCATAAATTTATTTATTGAATTTCTCTTAGGCATTAAAATTATAGATAATTTAATCAAGTTTTCGGAGGCAGACATAGAAATATCATATTTTAAGTAATAAGTACTTTTAAATATTTTAATGAAAATTAGTTTAAATATTTTAATATAAATTAATTAAAAAAATTATTAAAATTTAATATTTCTAAATTAGTAATTATATAAAAAATTAAATTATATAAGTTAATAATTTTCTAACTTCAACTATACTGAACTCGAATTGACACCCGTAACAGTTAGGTATATATCTGGATTCGACCTGATGTAATCTTTACACCAGTTGATAATAATAGATGAAAGGGACATATTAAGTTCACTTTAAGAAGACGATAATGCAGAAAAATGACGATATTATGATAAATTTGATTTGCATTAAAGATCAACAAAACTCTAACAAGAATAGATCTAATATTCAATGGCAAATAAAATGAGAGTCTAGTAAAAGTCTTAGATTCTTTTTTCTTCTTTTTTTTGGTATGCTAAAAGTCTTAGATTCTAATAGTATTGTCTAAACTTACATTCATATATTAACGTAATAGTTTTTAAATTGTTTTTAAGTTTTCAAAAAAAAAAATGTATTACTATATACTTAATTATTAAATTTTAATTATTTTATTTTATTTTATATCATTTATATATATCGTCGAGTAATTCAAAAAAGAATATCATGACTCTATTTTAATTTATCAATTTCATAATATAAAAACTGTCATATTTAACTCTATTTGAATGTATATAATAATAATCACGAATTTTAGGCCTTCTATAATTTTATTTCTATAAAATTAATATAACATTAAAAATTTATATCAAAATAATATATTTTTCAGTAAAGAATTTCTTTTGTAAAAATATTATTATTATCCAATGTTTACCATAATTTTTTATATTATCAACAATGACGGAGCCAGAAGAAAAACCCAGCCACAGTGTTAAAAGACCTAACCAGATAGAATTCAGTCAATGGCAAAGTTATATTATTTTTAAAAGTTCAACTAGTATTAAGGCTATATTATAATTTTTAAAGAAAATATGTACCATTTTTAGAAATTAGTAGATGCCTTGACACCAACTCAGTACCAAGTGGCTCTGCCATTCATTCTCAAATCTTTTCATATGCATATACATGTGAAACTGATACTTTTAAGCAATGTTATCAGACCTGGCTAGAATCGATCGGGTCGACCCGATGACCAGTTCGAGTCAAGTATCGAACCAACACGTATCAGACCTTGTAAAAATCAATTCGGACCAGCCGAGTTTTAACAAAATCAGTGACCCGGTCGGGTCATGAAAATCGACGGATTATGCATTTTTATAAAAATATAAATGCAAAAACAAAGTTTTCTCATCTTGTTTGAAAAAAGTGTGGTACTCCTTTCAAAAAAATTTGTAGTTTTGTTTGTTAGTAGTATGCTCTTCTACAATGACCTGAAGTCATTTGCGGAACAGAAAATTAAGAGAAGGTGACATATTGATTCCTTGCAAATTTATTTTTGTGGGAAGAGTTGTTGGTAAATGCCTTATGATTATTAAATATGATTAGTTGACGATACTTAGTAGAGGAATCATGTGATTACTTGATTCTTGAATTTTCTTTTTTCTTTGTTTGTTTTTTTTACAATATATTATATATGGTTACCATATATGACTTTTTTTTGTCCCTACAAAAACTATATATGCTTGCAGCCCAGCATAATAATTTTTTTGCATGTATTTGAATATTTTATGGATTTTTATGTATAAAATATAGGTTTCCAAGCTTATATATTTAAAGTTTTGATGATTATAAAGCACCAACAAGCTCAACATGGATGCACAAATTAGAAGGTAGTGTAACAAATCCTAAATGAAGATAGAAGATCAATGAAACATGCAAAAGTGAAGAAGTAATTCAAATGTGCAAAGTCAACATCAAAGTCAAAGTTTTCAAGTGAAGAAAGATTCAAGAGTATATTGTTTGTAACGTTAATTAGAGTCTTAGGAATGTTGAGAATTGAGTTTATTGAGATATACATATCAAGGTTGCATTTAGAAGATTTGATTTGAAAGAAGATTCTAAAGTTTCATTTTTAATCCAAATAGATTTTTTGAATGATTTGGTTTGATTTGTGTAAGAATCTGCACCGTTAAATTAGGAAGTTAAATCAATTAAATAAGAAATTAGGAAACAATTTCATAATTGACCCTAATAATTATGAGAAGGCTTAAATAATTATAGTAAGTCAATAATAATGTGGAAAGTCGCTTTTCTGATAAAAAATACAGATATCAGGTCTGTTCCACGGTATAAATGCGTACCGATGAAATACCCCGGAAAATTATAATAAGTGCATGAGTATTCCTAGAATAATAATTAGGACTGGAATATCAAGTTTGAAGTCAAAATAATGAGAACTGGTGTCAGAACTAATACTGTCAGCGTGAAAATGCGTACAGGAAAAGTGTTGCGAAAAATTAAAATTAAAATATGATAAATCCTATAAAAATGGCTAGGTTCAGAATATGAAGTTTAAGACTGAAATGATAAGCGTAGATATTAATGCTAATACTGTGCGACTAACCTTAAGTGGACTATCAATACTAATTGGCACACTCTCTTAGGTCATAAATTCACTCTTCTACGTGAGATTTTCTGGTGCATAGGCTGCCACCTTCTTCTCCCTTCAAGAACTTGAGCTTTCCTCCATTTTTGCACCAAAGTTCTCACCTTTTCTTCTTGAAAACCCTTCTCCATCATTGGGTGAGCTTGTGGCAAGCTTTGGGGGAGTGGGGAGAGTGTTCTTGTGAGCTCAAGGTGCTGTTTTTCTGAGTGTTGGAGGGCTGCCTCCTTGGTTGTGGGAGTGTGAGTGCTTTCCACCTCCATTGGAGCTTAAAGAACCAAGCTTTTGAGGGAAAATAACTTACCTTTGAGTAGTGATTTTCGTGCATCACTAAGGCAGAGGCTTAGGGAACTTCATTGATCATCAAAGGCTCTTCTTTTTCTGATTTCAAGGACCCCATAGGTATACCTTGAACATTCTCTTTGAAATTTCATGAAAATGGCTTGTTTGTGTTATGAAATGAGATAACTTTAATCATTCAAGCTTAGGGTTGTTAATCTAGGGTTAATAAGTGTTAATGAACATCTGTTTTGGTTCAAAACCGAACCTTGGATCAATGGGAGCCATTTTCAATTCAGTTTATGCAGAAAAATTCTGCAGAAAACTGTTCTGGCCGCGTGGTAGTCGATTACTTTTAGTTGATAATCGATTACCATGTTCAGTAACCAATTACCCTGTTTTATGGTAATCGATTACCATGTTCAGTAATCGATTACCATGTCCATGGTAATCGATTACCCCATGTGAAAATGACCAGAAACTAGTTTTAATGCGTGAAAAAGTTCTCATTTGGGCATGTGATAAACCCTTGGTTTATAAGGTTTTTAAGCATGAATTAGCTTAATTTGTGTGATTAAATGGATGGAAAAGAGGGTCAATGTCCTGGAAAGTCCTAAATACAAGTTTTGAAAGTTGTGTTAAAAATTTACATTGTTCTTGTAGGGAAATGAAGCTCAAGAAGCAAAAGAGAGAAGAAAGAAGATTCTGAAAAAATTGGAGAATTCTAAGTGTTGAGCGCTAAAACGTCTAAAGCGAATGTTTTAGCGCGCTGCTGCAAAATGAAGCCAAAAATTGCTGGTGCTGAGCGCTAAAATGTCCAATGCAAAAGTTTTAGTGCTCTGCTGTTCAAAAAGATTCTGGTCTTGAACGCTAAAACGTTCAAGTCAAAAGTTTTAGCGCTGAGGACAGTTGAAAGCAGTTGAGCATCCGTCAAAGTTGAACGCTAAAATCTCCAACAAGGAACGTTTTAGCACCCGTGTCAGTTTCTGGATGTTATTTAGTTGGAATTTGTAAACTATAAAAGGGCAAAGGGCCTTCACATTTAAGGAGATCCTCTGATCTAACTTTTTACTCTATGAAATTCTAAATTCCTTAGGTCCTAGTTTTGTATTAGTTTAGTATACTTTATGTAATTGTGATTGAAGATTGAAGATTCAACATCATGACAATGGAGTTTGATCTTTCCTCTTCTCTTGTTATTTCTTTTTCTATGTCTGAGTAGAGTCCTTTGTAGTTAGATTTCAATGGAACTCAAAGATGAATTTATGTATGGTTGATTGAATATTGTGATTATCTTTTATGTGATGATATGAAATTGTCTTTGTCAATTCTTTCCATTAAGGGAGTAGTGTAGAACAGGAATGTTTACATTATTTCTGTAACTAGCAATTTCATCACCAGTGTTCTAGTATTCAAGGGATTGGAACTAGGACTCTGATGTAATCTTCAAAATCTTAAGTGATTAATGTATGTATTAAGAAGGGAATCACCAAGGGATTGGGGTTCTTGATTAATATATCAACCAAGATAGTAAGGGATTACATCTTGGTGATAAGAAAAAGGTTGATTAACATCACACGGGAGATAATTCATAATAGGATTGAATTCTACTTAAGTTTATGGTTGATGGACATTGATTTCTTACTACTTGTTTTAAAATTATAATTCACATTTTAGTTATTTTACCAATTCCAAATACAATTCAAATTCTGGTGACAATCATCAATGCATTCAATGAATTTTTGTTTGATTCAACTTATTTATAAATGGTTAGTTGGTGTTTGAACACAAATCCTCGTGGGAACGATCTTTATTTATCACTTTATTACTTGTACGACTAGTACACTTGCTAAAGTTGCAACAAGTTTTTAGCGCCGTTGCCGGAGATTTGTTCTTCAACATTGACAGACACCATCAATATTTGAGATTGAATTTTTATTATTTCAGCAATTTATATTTATGTGTGAAGTTTTGTTCAGTTCCAATTCTGGTGTATGCGAGGTACTATTAATCCAAACTCTTTGTTGTTTGATCCAGAATTAGAAAAGAAAATTAGGAAGAACATGAAGGCAGCAAGACAAAGAAAGCTACAAGAAATGGGTGAATCCAGTGTGACAATTCAGGAAGAGGTCATGGAAGAAAATCACAGACCACCACCACAGAGGACATTGGGAGATTACATGACTCCCACTGTCATTCCACCGATTGGGAGTGTTGTTCGACCCACTGTGGAACCCAACAACTTTGAGTTGAAACCTGCATTAGTACAATTGGTGTAGAAGGAACAATTTGCTGGAACCAGTGCAGAAGATCCATATCTGCACATTGAGAATTTCTTACTTTTGAGCGAGACAGTGAAGATCAATGGTGTGACTAGATATGCTATCTTGTTAAGATTGTTCACTCATTCACTGAAGGATGATGCAAGAAGATGGTTACAATCATTACCTCAAGGAAGTATCACAACTTGGGATGATCTGCAGACTAAGTTTTTAGCTCGGTTCTTTTCAGCATCAAAAAGGGCGAAGTTGAAGGATGAGATTACAAGGTTCAAACAGAAAGAATCAGAGTCTATCTATGAAGCTTGGGAGAGATTCAAAACACTTTTGAGGAAATGTCCACAACATGGAATCGAAGTGTGGAATCAAGCAGCAATATTTCTCCAAGGGTTGACAACCAACACAAGGACATTGGTGAATGCCATAACTGGTGGTTCATTAACAACCAAGACTCCTCAGGAAGCCCTTGACATATTTGAATCTCTAGCATCTCAAGAGTTTGACAATGCTCCAGTAAATGACAGAAGAACGAGAATTATAAAACTTGATGGGTATGATGCTTTGTTAGCCAAGAATGATCAGATGATGCAAATGCAAAAACAACAACAACAGCTGGATGCTCTCACTAAGCAGCTATCTTCTCAAAAGGTTGCTTCTGTAGACACTAATCCTGTGTGTGCAATTTGTGGGAAAAGCCATGTTACAGAAGATTGTGATTATGGGGGATCTGCAGAACAAGCAGAAGTGAATGGGGTATGGTATGATCAGAGGAACCAGAACAACCAGGGGAGAAATTTGTATGTTCCGCCATGGAAGAATAGAAATCAACACCCAGGGTTCAGTTATAGTTCTAATCATCAGTTGAATCCTCCACTACATCCTCCTCCACCACATTCTTCACAACAAGGTGATACCTCTGCATGGGAGAAAGCTTTTGCAAGGTTTGAAGCAAGAAATTCAGAAACAGCATTATGCAAGGTTTCTGGATATTTTTAAGAAACTACAGATCAACATTTTATTTGCTGAAGCCTTGGAAAACATGCATCACTATGCAAAATTTATGAAGGATCTTTTGTCTAAGAAAAGGAAGTTGAAAGATGGTGAAACTGTGGCTTTAACGGAGGAATGTAGCGCCCTGATTCAAAAGAAGCTTCCTCCAAAGTTAAAGGACCCAGGTAGTTTCAGCATTCTGATTGCTATTGGAGATGTGGAAGTAGGAAAATCACTTTGTGACTTGGGGGCCAGTATAAATTTGATGCCACTATCTGTCTGCAGAGCTTTGGGGATTAACAAGTTGAAAACCACTAATGTTATTCTACATCTAGTAGATAGATCAATTAAGAGGCCAGAAGGGGTGGTAGAAGATGTTCTGGTCAAGGTGGATAAATTTATTTTCCTGTAGATTTTGTAATACTAGATATGGAAGAAGAGGATACTGAAAGTCCTCTACTCCTAGGGAGACCATTTTTATCCACTGTAAGATCTCTGATTGACGTAGAACAAGGAAAGTTGATGTTAAGGATAAATGAAGAAACAGTCACCATTGATGTATTTGCAGCTATTAAACATCCTGTTGATGTGGAGGATTGTTTTATAGTAGATGTCATACAGGAGGCTGTGGAAGAAGTGATAGAAGAGGAAAAATCTTCACTTGAGGAAGACAAATTCAAGGAGGAAACAAGTGTGGAATATTTTACAGAAGAACCGAAAGTAGAAGAGTTAGAAAAGAAAGTAGATGATATTCCTAAGGGAGCACCCAAGTTGGAACTTAAAGAACTTCCATCAAATCTTAAGTATGTGTTTCTTGGAGATGATCAAACATACCCAGCCATTATTAATGCATTGTTGTCTGAAGGGGAGGAAGTAAAGTTGATTGAAGTGCTTAAAAAGAATAAGACAGCCATGAGATGGTCATTTTCAGACCTCAAGGGTATCAACCCTTCTTTCTGCACTCATAAAATATTGACGGAAGAGCAGGTAAAACCAGTAAGGCAACCACAGAGAAGACTCAACCCTACTATGAAGGAGGTAGTGAGGAAGGAAGTGGTGAAGTTGCTAGATGCTGGAATGATTTATCCTATTTCAGACAGTGCTTGGGTGAGTCCAGTGTAGACGGTGCCCAAGAAAGGAGGAATGACTGTTGTGAGGAATGAGAATAATGAATTAATTCCCACAAGAACAGTCACTGGCTGGAGAATGTGCATAGATTACCGGAGACTCAATTTAGCAACCCGGAAGGACCATTTCCCTATTCCATTCCTAGACCAAATGCTAGAGAGATTGGCAAGACATGCTTTCTACTGCTTTCTAGATGGATACTCAGGCTACAACCAGATAGCGGTGGCTCTTGAAGATCAGGAGAAAACTGCATTCACTTGCCCCTATGGAATCTTTGCATACCGGAGGATGCCTTTTGGCTTATGCAATGCACTAGCGACTTTTCAAAGGTGCATGCTTTCCATATTCTCTGACATGGTAGAAAAATGCTTTGAAATTTTTATGGACAATTTTTCTGTATTTGGTCCTACTTTTGATGCCTGTCTAGAAAATTTAGATAGTGTTTTAAAAAGATGCCAAGATTGTAATCTTGTATTGAATTGGAAAAAGTGTCACTTCATGGTGACAGAAGGTATTGTTTTGGGACACAAGGTGTCTA